GAGAGAGAGAGAGAGAGAGAGAGAGAGAGAGAGAGAGAGAGAGAGAGAGAGAGAGAGAGAGAGAGAGAGAGAGAGAGAGAGGTTTGTTCACGAGTTTTGTTTGCTTGTTTTTTCCGCGAACAGATTTCCAATCTATTCGTAGGGATGAAGTGGTGGCATCTGTCCGCTCCGTTTTTCTTTTTGTTGTTTGATTTTTTTGGTTTTTCTGCGCAGGGGCCATGCTGATCTTCTGCGTAGCGTTCCAACTTTAACGGCTGTACCAAAGGACCTGTTTTTCTTTTTCCTTTGTTGGTTTTCACTATTTTGTTGTTTCTTCTGCATTTTTACTTTTTTTTTTTTTTTTTTTTTTTGGTTAACCACTCTGATCTCCGTTCCGAGCTTTTCGCTGTATCAATCTGAGGGCATACTCAGCACTAGGGCTTTTACGACTCAGCTCTAGTCGTAATTGCGATCAGATACATCCAGGAAAGTTCTAGTGCGAGTAGGTGCTGAAAAACGTCAAAGTTGAGAAAAAAACTCCGTTGCCATTGAGCTGATGCGCGCGCAACGATAAGAAAAACGTGGATGATTAAAAATGGCGCGTGGATGATTAAAAATGGCGCGTGCATGATTAAAAATGGCGCGTGAATGATTAAAAATGGCGCGTGCATGATTAAAAATGGCGGGAAAGCAGGCGCGAAGGCCGAATGCTGTCAAGGCAGTGTGCCCATGGATTTGCTCATACTCCATTAACAAACGATGCTTTTTTTTTTTTTTCCCCCCCCAAAACGAGGGCCGAGGGTACTGCCACGGGGTGATACGAGCGCCTCCTGGTATAGTACCTTCGCCCCCGGCCCCAATCTATTGGTGGCCAGCATCACCTGCTGGAAAGGATGTTCTCAGGGCATACTCACACTACGCATTTTTTCCTCACCGCCGCGGACGTAATTGTGGTTAGGTTCGTGCAGGTGTTGTTGCCGTAACTGTAGTCAGGTGTATTTTGGAAAGTGCTAGTGTGAGTCTGCACTCAGTATAGCTTCTTTCTTGTTTTTTTTTCCCCTCTGTTATCGGGGGATATGCTCGTATCACCTGCGACAGCAGTGCCAGCGGATGTTAAAAAAGTGAAAAAAAAAAAAACAAAAAAAACACGCAGAGATTGCTGTCCTACGGATGTCGAAGCGTGTGGCGTGTGGCCAATTCCAGGGACGGGATCCCGATAAGCTGCATGTGTCACGGGCGACATGCATTTAATTTCGCGCCCCTTGGCGCGCTTGGCGGGAAACGAAGGCGACTCACTGATCCGATGAGTGTGTGTAGGACACGTGTGCGTGCGCGGTAGGAATTGACCTGCCATGTCAGTACGCTGTGCAGATTACTTGGGCGCTCTGCCGAAATCCTCCCATCTCTCATTCATTCATTCCTTCTGATGATGATGATTCTTATTCTGATTCTTCTTCTTCTTCTTCTGAGGATGATTATGAGGATGATTCTTATTCTGATGATGATTCATATTCTTAATTATGATGACAATGATGACCATAATGATGATGATGATGATGATGATTACGAGGAGGAGGAGGAGGAGGAGGAGGAGAGGAGGAGGAGGAGGTTCACGATTACGAATTACAGTAGTTGCGCAGGTCTAGGAATATGGGAAGTCATTGGAAAATGTTTTTTTTTCTTAAATATTCATGTGTGTAGTCGTGTCGAAACAAGAGAGAAGGGTACTTCGGGGATTTGTGCGCATGGCGCTGGGCCTCGCTATCTCCTTTGTCTTCCTTCTTCTTCTTCCATTTTTTGTGCTTTTTTTCCCCCCGGCTAAATCAAACAAAAAGTTGTGTTGTAGTCGTGTGTGTTGTTGTCGTCTGCTATGGGCCTCGCTTGTGCAAAAGAAAATGAACTTCCGCTAGAACATGGAAAGATCCACTGCCATGTTTGTTTTTCCTTATGTGCATGTGGAGAGTAGTGGAGCGAGGCCCTACGGCTCTCGTTTGCTTGGGTCTCGTAGTCCACTCTTCTTCTTTTTGTTTCGTCTTTTTAATATAACTGAGTGTTTTTTCTTAAATCCATGGTGGTAATTTTTCTCTTTCCCGTCTTCTAATTCATTTTCTCTCTCTTTTGCAGGGGTGGTTGCAAAACGCCTTATTTTCGTGCAGGGGTACATGCAAAAATCCGACAAATAATAATATCCCAGATAGAGTAGATCGAACGGCTGGAGGCGAGGGGGAGGACGTGAGGAAGATCCTCCACACGAAAGCAGCAATAATTTTTTTTTTTGGGGCCAACCAGAAAGAGTGTTTTTTGGCGCCATCAACTCTTTTCTCTTCAGATCCATTTGCGCTAAGCTATGGCGGCAACCTACCGATCTCAGTTTTTTCGCGGTGGGTTTCCCCTTTTTCGTCCATTTTCATCTCTCTCAACCTCATTTCCACAACCACCCCCCCTCCGCCCCCCCCAACCGCTTCTCTCTTCTCCTTTATAATCTTCTCCCTCCCCTTTCCATTTAGTCGTGCACCTCCCCTTTCCACTTAGTCGTCCAATTCGTGCTCCGCCTTGTCAGAAAACCCCTCCCCCCCCTCCCCCCCCCCTCCCTCCCCCTAGCTTTCTTGTATTCATCTGATTCTCCAGTCAGAAAGGATAGGAACCCAAAAAAAAAAGGCAAAAAAAAAGGCAAAAAAAAAAGATCTAAGCTTCTTCGCTAGCGGGACCTCGCCCCACGAGCCACGTCTCATTCATTTAATGGCTACCTGTCTTTTTTGTTTTGTTTTGTTTTCTTTTCATTCGTGAGTTTCCCGGGGCCCCTCCCCTCCCCCTCGGAAATCCCAGAAGGACAGGACGCAGCTTATTAGCCACACAGAAAAGAAAAGAAAAGATGTCCAGAAGGACAGGACGCAGCTTATTAGCCACACAGAAAAGAAAAGAAAAGATGTCCAGAAGGACAGGACGCAGCTTATTAACCACACAGAAGAAATGGACTATGTGGATCTCGGGGGTACGCCCCCTCCCCCTACCTACCCCCGCCCCCACCCCGACCCGACACCAACCCATCCCATCCCATCCCATCCCATCCCACCCCACCCATGTAAGTACCCAAGTCGGCGGATTGGTAGCTACGCGGGTTGGTGCTGGTGAAGCAAAACCCGCCCCAAGGAAGGGAAACGTGGGCGGAGCTGCGAACCTGAATTGAAAACGTTTTTAGAAGTCGTTTTCCCGGCCTACCGTCTTTCCCAAGTTGACAACGCACCCTCATTTTGGCTGCATCCGACCGGAAAGATAGTTGTATACATTCCTTGTCACGGTGCATTGTGCTGGACAATGCACCTTCTTTTTTCTTTTTTTTTATTTATGAAAAAGCTCCGATCTATTTGTGGGGAGCGCACAAGCTGGCAACCGGGCCCAGCGTCCCTTATAAAACAGATGGTATTCAGAAGGGGGTACGCTCATTTTGGCTGCACCTGACGGGTAAGATGGTGGCTTGTACACATTTCTTATCAGGGCGCGTCGTGCTCGGGGAAAGACGGTAGCTCAGTTGGTAAGGCACGCAAGTGGCATTTTTGGAGGCCTCGGGTTCAACCCCATTGGCCTCATGTACCTTTTTGGGCATCCTTGGCGCTCACCACCTACAGATAGCCCCCCGCATGTTCGCTTGTTGGTGGCTTGAACTGGGCTGGCTGCTACGGTTCCGCATAATATTACAATGATAATGAAAAGTCCTAAAAGGCAGTCCCATCCAGATTTGACAGGTGTGACCCACCTGCAGGACAGGTGCAGCTCCTTGAACTGGGGCAAGGTCCCACTTGCGCAAATTAGGAGATTTCGGCCGTTGATCTTTGATATCTACGGTCAGTATCTCTTAATTCGTGCAAGTGGGACCTAGCCCCTGGGGTGGGCTGGGAGGCTTGAACTGGGGCTGGCTGCCACAGGGTTCCCTGTAATAGTATAATGATAACAAAAAGGCCTGAAAGGCGTGGCTTGAACTGGAACGGGCTGGGAGGCTTGAACTGGGGCTGGGTGCTACAGGGTTCCCTGTAATAGAGTAATGATAACAAAAAGGCCGGAAAGGCTGTCCTGTCCAGATTCGACAGGTAATTGAATTGGTTGGGCTTAAACCACCAGTACACCCCAGGCTAAATGTACGAGCCTAAATTTGAATTTTGCCGAGCCTGAAAGCAACCTGTACGGCCGCTTGGAGAAATAAGGGTACTAAGGCTCTACTGAAGTGGCATTGGTACCGGCCACTGTAGAACCAAACTGCTGGACCAGCTGCCAACAGATGGAATGAAAAGGAGGTTGTGGTTTTCACTCATGTGCCACGGCAGCCAAACTCTCCATAAAGCCAGCCCCTTTATCTGACCAAATTCGAGTTCCAGTGGTTTCAAAGAGATACTGGGCTTGTACCAACGGGCTTAGCGCAGTTGGTACACCCGTGAACTGTTGAAATACAGACCCAAGTTCGAATCCCCATCCAACAAGATGATCAGAAATTACCTAGGGCCGGTCAGTCCAATGATGATATCTCAAGGCCGTTGCCCTTTCTAAAAAAAAGAAAAGAAAAGGAAAGAAAAGAAAATATCTCACAGGGACGTTTTCTGCTCAAGATGGACACAATAGCAGTCAGATACATCCCTGTCTGGCTGTCCTTCCTGTGCTTGTCTGAGTGTACCCTCAAAGGAATGTGCCTGTGTCTAGCCCAAAATGGGCAAAGATTCGTGGAAAAAAAAAAACTCTACTTTCAGAAAAAAAAAACACTCTACTTTCAGAAAGGCTGGCACCCCCTGAAAACGGGCGACTGTCTCTCTTCTGGGCACGTAGTCCCCACTTGTTTTGCTGGCAGTCCGTAATGACAGGCGCCAGTAACTGGTTGGGGGCTGCTTGCCCCCACAGGCATTCCCCTGGATGTATGCAGCCCGTGCACCCAAGTCCCGCTTTGAGTGTGCCCTGAGAGAAACGGGCTACCAGAGACTTCGGGGGACGAACAGATACTAAGGGTCGGATCCCACACTACTTACGGTAAGTAAAACTGTAAAAGAAACGAAAAAGACGGAGGCGGGGTGCAACGGGAAAGAAAAATTGCATCCCACACACCCGTGCAAATAGGAACTGTTACTAATAACGTGCCATTTGTTTTGGCAAATCTAGCATGCTAGCCAACCAGGAGGATGAGAAAAATTCAGAAAAATACACACACACACACAAAAAAAAAATCTTTGTAGCAGCAGGGTACGGGTTTGCCACTCTCATGATTTTTTTAACTACTCTCGCGGTGATGATTGCCCGCTGAGTGCCACAACTACAAACGTTCCCACTTTCATCCGATGGCAGTCCCCCCCCCTACTCGTGCGGAAAATGGTGGGATCCTGAATTTTGCCAGAAAGTACTTACGGTAAGTAGTGTGGCATCCGACCCTAAGCAGATTTGAGATGGGCCGTTACATCTTGAATCTAGAGGTTGAGAAAATTCGGCAGTGGAAGACTTAGCACTTGCATGGTATCACGTGCTAAGTGTTAGTTAGAGTCGAAAAGAAAACAAAAAAAAAGAAACGGCCATCGGAACAGTTGAAGAACGCCCTGCCTTCCACGTGCTAAGTGTTAGTTAGAGTCGAAAAGAAAACAAAAAAAAAGAAACGGCCATCGGAACAGTTGAAGAACGCCCTGCCTTCCTGGCAGGGCACCTAAAACGAAAGACCAGAACTCCAAGACTTCCCTCGAATGGGACCCAGGATTGTGGCCACAGCCATCCGAATGAAAATCCAAAGCAAATGCTTCTCATTTTCCCTTGGTTGTGCTTCCCCCCCCCTGTTATTAGGCGCCTTTCTTCAGCGGAAATGGGCCACTTGTTTTGGTTTGGGTAGATTTCAATAGTGCGACGAATTTGAAAAGTAATAACAAAGCAAGACGCACCAAGAAATCACTGCCCGCGAAAGAACGAGGGTGGTAAACCTCCTCGTCAGATGTAGGAGGTTGGTATAGGTAGGACCTCTCCCATCTGTCGGTTGAAGATCTTTCGTGAGAAAGAAAATCAGCGATGCCTTCACGGTAGTCGGAGGAGCGGCCAAACAGCCCGAACGAAGTTTAGAAAAGTGGCCTTGTTCTCCTTTTCAAGGTATCTGGCGAGATTCACTTTTCTCACATTCATTTGTTTTCTTCCTTTTCGCCTTTTTTTGGGACAGGAGGTCCAGTCCACCAAGGCCATATTTTGCGTGAAAAGGGGGGCCGACTGACTAGGACTCTGTCTTTTAGATAATCGTATGAGAGGTAACGAATCAATGGGGTTATAAGGCAGTAGGAGAAAGGGGCCAAACAGCCAGTCACAGAGCAAGAAGTGGAAGTGGCCCATGATACGTAGAGTTAAACAGGCGTGGCTCACTTTGACACCGAGTAGGAAAAGGGGGCCAAGAAACCAATGACCGTGAAGGAAGGAGAGCGGTAAACTCCCTCTTCAAATGTCCCATATGTTGTGCTGCTGTGTACTCTTGTGTAGACGAGCAGTGCGGTCCCCCGTTAGGCAGGGAGAATGATTCATTAGCTGATTGGTTCGTGTGAGTATGGTACTAGCTCTTCAAAAGGTACTGCTCCGACAAATCGAACGCTCTTCCAAGTAGGCTTCCTCTTGAGTGTCTTTACCGGTGGTAGCTTGTGGTACAGAATGCATTCCGAAGGTACAAAGGGAAGCTTCCAATGGGGTTTGAACACTCCATTTTGGAAGAAGCCACAGGGATCAGGAAGCGGGGAGAAGGGGAGGGGGGGTGGCGGAGACACTACTCGGGACGCTACTCAGGAGAATATGGAGTTGGGAGGGGTTCAAGGGCAACAAATGATGGGTAAGGGGAAACATGAGGTTTTTGAGTTCATGGCGGATGATGAGAAGGGGGAGGGAAACGGGAGAAGCGGGAAGAGTAGGGTGGCAAGAGCAGGGGGTAAAAACTTGCTAAAAGCAAACCAGAGAAAAAAAAGACGAACAGATAGGACCGAAGGAACTGCTTCAGTCAATAAGGAAGGAGAGGGGGAAAGAGGTGGAGGAGAGACAAAGATGGTGGCCGGTGGAGTATAACGACTCAGACTCAGAGGAAGAAGGCATGAAAGTGGAGAAGTTGGGTCAGGATGAGGGGCTCGAGGTCAATGTGGAGAGAGTGAGGCAGATATTTGAAAAGTGCTATGACATATTAGTTATTCTTGATACTTTCAAAATAGCAAAATTCGAAATGTAGGGTAAATCAGTAAAGATCTCCCTCCCACTCGATTTTGCGAGAGCTCAGGAGGAATGGCTGAAAGAACATGTAGTAATCTTTTTTCAGGGAGCTTTCAAGTCACTCACAGCGGAAAAATCAGATCTCTCGAGGACATGTTTCTTCCCCCCAACCTGCACGACAAAGAAAGGGGAA